AATGCTTGTCTATAATTCATGGGAAATATAAATTTGTGATGTAAACGTCTAGAGGGAGCCCTGGTTGTGCAGTGGTTAAAGCACTCGGCTGCTAACTGAAAGGTTGGTGTTTCAAACTCACCAGCCACTCTGAGGGAGAAACATGTGGCAGTCTACTTCCATAAAGGTTTACAGTCTTGGAAACCCTATGGGACAGTTCTACTCTGTGCTACAGGGTCACTATAAGCTCCAATTGACGACAGCAGTGGGTTTGGTTTTTTGGTTTGGAAATGTCTGAAGCTGAAGATACGAATTTGGAAATCATCGGCATACAACTAGGGAGTGATTCTCCAATGGAATACCAAGGTGTTATTAGATGGTAGATGGACAAGAAGTTAAGTACATATCTCACAGAGGCAATACTTGTTTTTTCTATATTCTCCCATCTAGCATTAGTTTTCAATAAGTGTTTGAAGATTATTAGTGATGTTAGGTGGCTTATGTCTATGAATTTCCTGCTGCTTTCCAGGGAGAAGGCTGATTTTTACTGCTAATAACAGAAAACTCAAAACTACTTAAACAATAAGGAAGTTTGCTATTTCATTTAACTAGAAATTCAGATACATGTTCAGTTTCAGGTTTAGTTGATTCAAGGGTTTAACCACTACCATCAAAGTTGCAGGGTTTTTGTTTGATTGGTTGGTTGGTTGGTTGGTTTTTTGTTTCTGTGTTGTTTGTTTTTAACCATAGGACTAGCTTCATCTTAAGTCTTGTTCCCTTTTGATCATGGGCTGGCTTCCAGGAATAACAGGTCTACATGTTTCCTCATCTGGTACCAGGAAGAGGCGAGGTTGATTTCCCATGCTATTTACCAAAAAGAGAAAAATATCTCTCACATTTCTCCTTAGCCAGCAAATATCTTTCCATATCTCCTTAGCCTGTATTGGTAACATGCTCATTCCTCAATCTGAAACTGTGGCACAGAAGATAGGACTTTTTTCATGGGGCAATAAATGGTTTGATATAAACAATATCTAGCAGGAATAAAAAGAAAAGAGGCATTTCTCCTTTACAGAAAAAAATGAGAAGCTATTTCTCAAGATTAATATTATTAGTGTCTGGAGGTCTCCTATGAGTTGAAATCGACTTGACAGCAACAGGCTTTTTTTTTTTTTTTTAAATAGAATTAGAGACTACTTGGAATAGATAGAAAACCCCTGATGGTCAGAGAGCAATGACAAGACAAAAGGAATACATTTCCTTTTTTCCCTTTCCTTTCAGTAAGACTTACAAGACTCCATTAAACAGATATGCCTTTAGACTTTGGACCCATCTATACTATCTTAATGTGAAAATAAGTAGGAATGGCATAATATTTGTCTTTCTCTATCTGTTCCATTCATAGGACTGTGCTAGACTCTGACACCAAGCTCTGGGTTGAATATACCCTAATTAAGCTGAAGTTTTTTTTTTTGAAGTGAATATATAATAATCATTTTTATTCTACTCTAATCATACTAAAGATATCCTGGACTAATCCTTTTTTTTTTTTTTTTTTTACTATCGAGAACTAGATATAAGTAGGGAAAACAAATACTATTATATTCTCTAATTAATACAGTAGCTGTAACCCTATCATCTTAACAATACATAGTCTTTGATGTGCAAGTTGTGGGAGGGAAGATAAACTAACATTTAGACATAGAAAGTCTCCTTGCTATTGCACACAAGCGTAAAATACATAAAATACCCTCAACTGTCATTGAGGGGATTCTATAATATTAACACTCCCATTAACTATAAAAATGTATGACAAAGTTACAAATGCCTTTCTGGGCTAAAAATGCATTTTGAAACCCAAGCAAATGATTCTAAATTATTCCAAATAACCATAATAAACTTAAAAATGTATAACCTCTTAATCATTTTTCCATTATTCAAAATTACACATTACAAAGCTTCTAGAAGTGTGCATACTTTTCATCATTCAAATAAAGAGGGAGAAGAGAGATAAAAGAGTCAAGTTTACAAATTGCCACCTTTTAGAGGGAGCCCCAAAAGGTCAGCAGTTCAAATCTACCAGGAGTTCCTTGGAAACCTTATGGGGCAGTTCTACTCTATCCTATAGGGTTGCTGTGAGTCAGAGCCAACTCGATGGCACACAACAACAACAACCTTTTAGAGCTGGAATATCGTTTTTTCAAAGCAAACAAACCATCAAACCATCACCATATTTTTCAGTCCAAGATTACATAGAAAAGAG